TCCAGTAGAAAGGACCTACATTAAGCCTTGACCTGGTGTCTTGGTAACTGACTTAATGAAATTTGGATTCGATTGGGAGATTAGAAGCTCCACTAAATATGATGAACAAATAAGGTTAGCCAGGCACGGTGGCTCATGTTTGTAATCCCAGCACTTTTGGAGGATGAGGTGGGTGGATCACCTGAAGTCAGGAGTTCGAGACCAGCCTGACCAACATGGAGAAACACTATCTCAACAAAAAATACAAAATTAGCTGGGTGTGGTGGTGCATGCCTGTAATCCCAGCTACCTGGAAGGGTAAGGCAGGAGAATCACTTGAACTGGGGAGGTAGAGGTTGAGGTGAATGGAGGTCATGCCATGGCACTCCAGTCTGGGCAAGAAGAGTGAAATTCTGTCTCAAAAACACAAACAAACAAACAAAAAATCACAATTAGCTATTTGAAAACCATCTTGCAGAGATCCTAGCATTTCTGAAATCTAGGGGCTTTTCCAAATTTCCACCATATTAGATTCACTATATGAGAATTCTAGATCATGCCTCTGTAGTCAGGCATTTGATGATGGTAAATTTTAAGGATTACACAGGGTATCATTGCCAGAAGTTACCTAGATTTGGCTGGTCTGCCAAAATGACCAAACAAACCAGGGATGATCCCACCCCGTGCCACAGAACATAGTTTTAAATGTTAATTGCCATTTGCTGAAATTTGCCTTCTATAGGATATTTACCCTCTTTCCCTTACTCTATTACCAAACAACTCTCTTATTTCCTACCCTTCCTCCCCAATATCACCCTCCAAATGAGGGATCGATTTTAGTGCCAGAACTGAGGTCCCCTGACTTCCACTCTAAGCAATACCCTAAAAAAACCCTCATTTTACCTACGCTTTGCGTTCAACACATTTAGGGAGCAGTTACTTGCGGGAATTAATGGGCCATTTGTTTTAGGTTGCAAGACAAGACAGAAAACCTTTTTTATTTAGACTTCTTAATGCAATGCTGTAAAGCAAACACACACACTTGTGTAAGTCAAAAATACCAAATGCCCATGTGCTCTTCCACCAGAAGGGGGCTGATGAGAACTCTTCCAGGATCACCAAAGAAGACTCGAGTCGGCGCTGTCCAGCAGGAGACCGAGGGCCTCTCTCTGTGAGTTTTTCCATTGTGAACCTAAAATATCTGAGATGGGTCTCCATAAATTTGGAAAGTTTATTTTGCCAAGGTTATGGACGTGACACACCCTCAGGAAGTTTTGAGGACATGTGCCTAAGATGGTTGGGGTACAGCCTGCTTTTACATGTTTTAGGGAGATGTGAGCCATCAATCAATATGTGTAAGACATGACTTGATTTGGTCCAGAAAGGCGGGACAACTCAAATCTTGGGACGGGGCTTCCAGGTCATAAGTAGATAAGACAAATGGTTGCATTCTTTTGAGTCTCTGATTAGCTTTTTTTTTTTTGAATACACAGTTTACATGTGAAAGGAGAGGAGGACGCTTCTCTTATGCCCTAGTCTGGCTTAGTGAGGCAATAGCGCAGAAGCAGCAATGAGATGTGCATTTGTCTCAGGTGAGCAGAGAGATGACATTGTGTTCTGTCCATTGTGTGGCTAATGGTGAGGGGGTATGGAGCTTATCTTTGTAGCTTTCTTATTGAGGAATAAACTGGGAGCAGGTTTGCCTGATGCCGTTCCCAGCTTGACTTTCCTTCGGGTTAGTGATTTGGAGTCCTGAGATTTATTTCCTTTCACACCTTATAACCTGCTATGTGATTTAGTAGGTGACAGTGTGATCTCTGAGAGTCTACTATTTGGGATTTGAGGATGATTAGCTAAGCTGGGGGAAATTCTTAAAATAATCCTAAAAAGGAAATAAATCCCTTTTCTTTCTGATTTCTTCCTAATCACTATTTCCTTGGCAATAACTTACTCTGTGTTTAAGAAACATGCACCTAAGTTATTTCCTTCTAGAACTGAGTTTTTGTTTTAAATTTACACTTGAGAGTCTTTGAAAAATGTTGGCAGCATTTACTGAAATACACTTCATATCTGAAACATAGTACTATCTCAGCATTCTCAGAATGCTGTTACTTTTTACAGGTCCTGTTGTCAGTGAATTTGCCTTTAATATATTAAATCAGGAAAGGATAGAATTTATTTTTCATGTGAAAATGTGATTAAATAGTTTATGAAGTTTGAAAACCTGGTTCAGTACTTTATTGCTATAAGACTTTGAGTGTGTGTGTGGCTCTAACATGAGTTTATTTCACTGCTTTTTAAGGTTGTAATGGTGGAAATGATACCTCACAGTAACATGTAGGAAGAATTCAGAATTCATTTCCCTGCTTACTGAGTGACTGTGCTCAGTTTTAAATCCCATGTGCCAATTAAGTAAAAAGTTGTGTTAAAATCTGTCCTGCAATTTTTAATTTGGTATAACATCACTCCGTTCTCCAACCTAATTGGAAGATACTGACTTTTTAAAATTATGTAATTAAACCATTATAATTGTATATACTTAATGAGGCACAGTTTCATGTTTTAATACACATGCACATTGTATAATGATCAAACAATTTAAGTCTAATGCCCTGTTCATTTGAGTTTGACAAGTTTTAAAACTACAAAAGCAATAGCCACTTTCTACTAGACAGAGTTTCCTAATCATCTTAGGTCAGTCAGTTCCGTCTTCACCAGCAATTTCATGGCAGTCATCTCCTTGGTTCCATTGGCCTAATAATGCCCGGCTGTCTATTCTAACCAAGCTGGTTTAAAAAGGGAAGAAGGAAAGACTTCTGGAGAAAATGCCTGTTTGAATATACCAGGTAAGAACCATGTGAAAGATCCTAAAAGGGAGAATCCAGGTCGATGTCAGAGTAGAGTGTACCTGGTAGGTCCAGAAGCGCTCCTGGTGGCCTTCTTCTGGATTAGTTATGCCTCTGGGGACACATCTTTTCACCCATCTTCCTTATGAATCTTTTATGCCAGGCCACAGCGGTGTCTATAGAGCTAGTGCCATGGAGTGCTAAGGACACAGATGTGAAAACACACTCGATTGGCCAGCACCATCACTGAGCTGCTCTGTGATGTGAGATGACGCCAGAAAAGAGAGGCGTGGAGAGTGGGCAGTAAGGAAACACACTGCTGAAATTAACTTATTTTATCTGGAGAGAAGAACAAGTGAAGGCTCATAATCATTGGGTAATGACTAATAGGGTGGTGATGGCCATTATTTATTGTATACGTACTCTGAGCTCCATGCTTTAAATAAATCTTCAATTCTTAAAAAACCCTCAGGAGGTGATTGGTTGTACCTGTATTTCCATTTTTCAGATAAGAAACAAGTCCAGAAAAGGAAAAGTGAACATCCATGTCACAGAGCAGGGATTTAAAATCAGAACTGTCTACCCTGTCTGGGTTTTTTACACTGATCAAAAGTGAAAAGCAAAGAATTTATATATATATCTGTATGGGTGGGTGCGGTGACTCACGCACGCCTGTAATCCCAGCACTTTGGGAGTCCGAGGCTGAGGTGAGAGGATTGCTAGAGACCAGGAGATGGAGATCAACCTGGGCAATACAGTGAGGTCCTGTCCATACAGGAAAAAGCCAGTTGTGGTGCCATGTACCTGTACCACTGGCTACTTCACAGGCTGAGGCAGGCAGGAGTTCAAGGCTGCAGTGAGCTGTGATTGCACCACTGCAATTCAGCCTGAGTGACAGAGTCAGACCTCTCTCAAAAATTATATTTTTTAAAGAGATGGCTCTTAAAAAAGAGCTGGTGGGTGCGGTGGCTCAAGCCTTGTAATCCCAGCACTTTGGGAGGTGAAGGTGGGCAGATCACAAGGTTAAGAGATTGAGACCATCCTGGCCAACATGGTACAATCCCGTCTCTACTAAAAATACAAAAATTAGCTGGGCATGGTGGTACATGCCTGTCGTCCCAGCTTCTCAGGAGACTGAGGCAGGAAAGTCGCTAGAACTTGGCAGTGAGCCAAGATCACGCTACTGCACTCCAGCTTGCCAACAAAGGGAGACTCCAACTCAAATAATGATAATAATAATAATAACTTATGTAAATAAGTAGAGACGTGGTGAAGAGCTGGAGGGGAGTAGGGGTGAATCTAGGCAGGAACCAGAGCCAGAAACAGAGGAGCCATGTGTGCTGATTGATTTAAGCTCAGGAGCTGTGAGGGCCACTGAAAGACCTTGTGTGGAGATTGTTGTGATCTAACTGGCCTCCTAGCATAGCCCTAGTGAGCAGAGGTGGAGGGGATGGGTGGAAGAGAGAGTAGTTGGGAAGCCCCTCAGACCAATCCAGGCAGGAGAGAACAGGGCCCTCCTGAGGCTTCAGAGTGAGGATGGAGAGACAGGCAGATTGGGGTGCTGCTTAGAGGGTGAACCGGTATGAGTAGAGATGCAGGCATGCGCAGTGGAGTCTTTCACCAAGGTGGAAACAGGTGGATCAGGTGAGATTCATATGAAGGAACCCACAGGACTTGTGTCTCCCTATGTGTGTGGAGTGAGGGAGAGACCTTGGGGATGAGTCTTGGGCTTCTAACAGGGAGAGCAGATGACTGGCGCCTTTGGATGAGACACAGGACCTTCTAGTTCTAAAGTAGCAGAAGATAGGGGAGAAGATGCAGGGTGAGCCTGGATTTCCACCCAGTAAGTGAGGTACCTGTGGGTTGTCCAGGGAGGGCAGCTGGGAGGTGGTTTTGTGTGTGGGTCTGAAGCTGCATCTAAGGCACGGTATCCTAGGGGGAGCTGATGTGACAGGCCCAGATGCAACTGCCCACAGAGTGTACACAGGGATGAAAGTGGAGGGCAAGGAGGCTCCTACCCCTGAGCTTTCCGAAGGTCTGAGAGAAGATCAGAAGCCTGAGTAGAAACTTTTAGCTCATTAGAAAGAAACCAGAATACCAAGAAAACCACAATGTAACAATTCTCCAAAATACAATTATATTTTAAAAGCAAAATTAGAAAAAGATATTCAGCCTTTCATTTCTACAATGAAAATGTTTCATGGGATGTGGTTGCATTTTAGCATATTTAATACATCTCATGTGATGTGGGCAAGGCTCCCTCCAAAGGCATCGCTAAAATTGGGGTGTGAGAAGTCATATTCTCCTTCACTGGGACCCACACCCCTCATTCCACAGCCCCCATGACTCTCCTTCTTCCCAGGGGTGAACTCCCCTCTCTGGCCTTTCCTCCATCCTGCCGGGTCCCTCATCCTTGCAGAGGGTACTTGTGATGCTGCACATAGTGTTGGTGGGTTCATAACACTTTGAAGTGCAGTTCCCTCAAGATTGGTCCTGCTGAACCTCATCTGGGGTCGCATTGTCCCTCAGGTGACCCACCGTGGCCTTCATGCTGCTTGATCTGGTCAGAGAGTCCCCACAAGATCTGGTCCTGATTAACCTCATCTGAGATCAACTTCTCCCTCTGGTGTCCCACCGTGTTCTCCATGCTGCTTGATCTGGTCAGGGAGTCACCACAAGATCTGGTCCTGATTAACCTCATCTGAGGTCACCTTCTCCCTCAGGTGTCCCATCACGGCATCCATGCTGCTTGGTCTGGTCAGGCAGTCCCCATAACATCTGGTCCAGATGAACCATCATCTGGGCTCTCCTTCTCCCTCATGTGTCCCACCATGGCCTCCAGACTGCTTGATATGGTCAGGCAGTCCCCACAAGACCTGGTCCTGATTAACCTCATCTGAGGTCTCCTCCTCCCTCAGGTGTCCCACCATGGCCTCCACGCTGCTTAGTCTGGTCAGGAGCACTCTTGAGCACCCCCTTGCTGCCCGCCTGCTCCATGCCTTCTGCCAACTCCAGGCAACAGCATTCTATGCTTTCTCCAGGCAAGTGTCCATGTGGTACCCTGCTGGAGTAGATCTTGTTCTTATTGTGCATCTACCCCACCCTACTCCCACTTCTCAGGATCTTATTTCAGACCCCACCCACTATCCACCCCACCCCACTCCCACTTCTCATTTCACATCCCACCCACTCCCACTTCTCAGGATCTTATTTCACACCCCACCCACTATTCATCCCACCCCACTCCCACTTCTCAGGATCTTATTTCACACCCCACCCACTATCCACCCCTCCCCACTCCCACTTCTCAGGATATTATTTCACACTCCACCCTCTTCCAGTGCTCAACTCACCTGCCGGGGCTTCTCAGCACCTGCGTGGTCACTGGAACTGCCCCTGCACAGGGCCTTGAAAGGACTCACCACCAAGTGGCTGACAATGGACATATGAGAGTGGACATACGACTGGATCTCGTGTTGGCCAATCATTCCCTAAAAGAAATTTTGTAAGGAGCCATAAACCTCTCCCACTTAAAAGCAGACATCCAGAATTTAAACTCTGTTTCTATCTCAGAAAACTGGAGGTTTTCTGTGTAACAGAACATTCTGGCCAATGTAGCCAATATCACCAACATATAATATAGACAGAATAGCTCTTTCCAATCCTCATAACATGGGAACTTTAGAGTTTTTTAAAATATTGAATTGTTGCAAAATACACATTAAATGTTAAAAAAAAATGCTAAACTTACCATCTTAGGCTTTTTTTCAAGACACAATCTCGATCTGTCACCCAAGCTGGAGTGCAGTGGCAGGATCTCAGCTCACTGCAACCTCTGCCTCCTGGGTTCAAGTAATTCTCCTGCCTCAGCCTCCTGAGTAGCTGAGATTACAGGTGTGCACCACCACGCCCGGCTAACTTTTTTGTATTTTCAGAAGAGACGGGGTTTCACCGTATTTGCCAGGCTGGTCTCCAACTCCTGACCTTCTGATCTGCCCACCTCAGCCTCCCTATAGTAGGCATTTTTAAGTACACAATATAGTCATACTAAGGATATTCATGTTGCATGAAACCTATCCCCAGAACATCTTCACGCACATGAAACAACTCTGCATCTCCCTGTCCCTCCAGCCCCTGGCAGCCCACATCTTACCTTTTTATTTTCTGTGAATAACTCTAGATACTTTATACAATATCATTTACTTTAAAAGTTCCAAAAGTATGCCCAGGATGGGGGAATTAGCCACCCCAAGTGTAGTGAGCACCTAAACACCAACTTGAAAGCCTGTGTTCTTCTCCACCATGTGTTCATTCATTCATTCTGGACACCATGTGCTGCGGGATGCATTTGAGTGTCTGGGAGACAGTGTTGAATTGCTTGTCTGTTTATTAGTTTGTTGAAGTTCTTTAGTGAGAATCGTCTGTGCTGCAAATATATTTTCTGAGTGGCTTGTCGTTTTAGTCTCTTAATGCTGTGATTTTGACACTGAAACTTTAAATGTGGTCAGAATATTAGTCTTTCCCTTTATGGTTACTGCTTCTTCACTGCCACTTATGGCATCTTTTCCTAATTTGATGTCCTGAAGATATTTTTCTGTCATCTTGTAGATCAGGGCCATCCAATAAAAATATGAAATGTGACACTTACTGTCTATCTAGACTAAATACTGTCTATCTATACTCAGTATCATCTAGTATCCACATTGAAGGAGAAAAAGGAACCTGATAAAATAATTTCAAAATTTCAATATAAAAATTGAGACATGGCTGGGCACGGTGGCTCATGCCTGTAATCCCAGCCCTTTGGGAGGCCGAGGCAGGCAGATCGCCTGAGGTCAGGATTTCAGCAACATGGTGAAACCCCGTCTCTACTAAATACAAAAAATTAGCGGGGTGTGATGAAGGAAAGTTATAGTAAATATTTGACAGTTGATCGGCATTAATTTCTTATTTGAAAGCTGTTTCCATTATATAGGTTCTTCCAGGAACTCAAACACTGGTAAGTGAAATATGGGAGTATAGTTTTTTGGTTTTTTTTGAGATGGAGTTTCCCTTGTTACCCAGGCTGGAGTGCAGTGGTGCGATCTCCGCTCACCGCAACCTCTGCCTCCCGGGTTCAAGCAATTCTCCTGCCTCAGCCTCCTGAGTAGCTGGGACTACAGGCATGCGCCACCATGCCCGGCTAATTTTTTGTATTTTTAGTAGAGACGGGGTTTCACCTTGTTGACCAGGATGGTCTTGATCTCTTGACCTCGTGATCCACCCGCCTCGGCCTCCCAAAGTGCTGGGATTACAGGCGTGAGCCACCGCGCCCGACCAAGGGAGTATAGTTTTTATTATTTCTTCCTTTCTTTTTATTTTCATAATAAAAGGCACTTTGCTCAGGAAATCAGCACAAATTGGCGTTCTTTGGATCTCCTCATTCTGTGGTTTAAGATTCATTTTTGTTGAGTCCTTCTGAGAAAAAACAGTAAGAACCTTAACAGTTTCTGTGCATCCTAATGGCAGAGCTCTCTGACTTGGGCCTATGCTGCCAGTCTGGGTAGTTTTATACTTTGCTTTCTTGTTTTGCTTTAAAGCTATGACTCAGCATACATTTTGCCCCATACATTTTAACACTGAGCCTTAGGACTGAATCACCTCCACTTAAATCGATGACACAAGCAGCTAATAACCATTTTTGGGTTTCTACCTAACTTCTAATTGGCTGTTAAAGCCAATTCTCTGGGTGTCCTAGTGAAGGGTGGCTCTTTCTCATTCCACACTTGTACATATGCATTTACCTAATTCGAAACATCTGGATTTCTGATGTCTCTTAGATTTAATTGCAGTGATATACAGCCACTACTTTATTTTTGATCAGTGACCTTTGGGCCACTGTTTAACTGGGGCACTGGACATCAGTGTGAGCACCAGGGTGTTTGTTTTGTTTCTCTTGGGTCTTTCTTTTTTGGCACATGTGAATTTTGTTCTGTGTAAAATGAAATGACTTTCTCTTGTTCTCTGATGATGGGTTTAAAATTAAAAGAACATCTGGTTTTGGTATGGGGATGATCCAGGATTGCGTTAAGACTCATATATATTACTTACTTGTACATTGATTTGGATCTTTGCAAGGGGAAAACTAAAAGTGACGAGTTTTATATAATTAAATTTGTTACCGTTTTTCATGTTCAGGATAAATACTTTTTCAACGTTGCAACAGTTTATTGATAAGGTGACTTTCACCTTAGGACAACCGTTGCATGCCAATTTGAATATATGTGTGAAACACTTCAAAGTTTATTTAAAAGATGTAAGTTTAAAATTGGTTGTATCTAATATGCCCCAGGTTTGGTAATAATTCTTTAAAAAAAATTCCAGTGCAAGTTCTACACTTAATAACACATCTCAAGTGCTCAATAGTCACCCATGGGCAGACCAGTGTGGGGTCTCTTTCTGCTCTCATTCTGTGCCATTTGTCTATGCTTTCCCCACTCCTACACTATCTTAATTTCCATAATTTTCATGATGAGTTCTGATATCTGGTAGGCAAAAATGTCTTCTTAGGAGAGTGTTGGTTAACCTTGGCTTTTTGCATTTCCATATAAATTTTAGTTGTCAAGTTCTCAAAAATGTAGTGGGATTTTGATTGAGATTCTGTTGAATCTAGATATCTAAAGTCCCTGCCATGGTTCTGGAATCCTAGGGTAAATACAGATAAATTCTGGAATAAACAAGACCCGAAAAACATGAACAAAACCAAAACTGAGCCTCCATCTATCTACAGCAGGGGCCTTGTGCCCTGTGAGCTCTCAGGGGTCATGGTTCTTGCACTCACCTTAACCAAGGGCAGGACTTACCCTCCTAGAGAACAGGTGAGGTGCTTCCCACTCCTTACTCCCCTCTACCTTCTCTGTCACTGGCCCTGTGGTTTGCTCTGTGGCTACAGACCAACTTCCATGGAGAAGGCCAGGACACATGCAGAAGCTCAGGCAGGCTGGCTGATCAGTTAGGGAAAGAAAGGAGCAGAATGTTTAGAGAAAGGAAATCGAAGAGGATTAACAATTGGAATGAAGGCAAAATATGGATGGCAGTAGGTGACCAGGACCTGGATTGGTCTGAGGGGCTTCCCAACTACTCTCTCTCCCACCCATCCCCTCCACCTCTGCTCACTAGGGCTATGCTAGGAGGCCAATTAGATCACAACAATCTCCACACAAGGTCTTTCAGTGGCCCTCACAGCTCCTGAGCTTAAATCAATCAGCACACATGGCTCATAACTCACATCATGGAGTTAGGGGCTTGGGGCCTGAGACAGTGCCTTCTTGTTGAGGATGAAGCACTTTGGCTTGTAGCTGGTTGCTGGGCGAGGTGCCTCACATCTGTAACCACAGGGCTTTCAGAAAAGCATCAGAGTAAAACAACCATCTGTGATAACAAACTTAAAATGGCTGTGAAGAGCTCTATTAATTCCTCAAATATTCATTGCTCTATGTTTTTTTCCCTCTCCTTGTATAACTCCTACTGCCAGGCTGTTGGCCTTTCTACTTCCATCCTCTCCCTGGCATTCCCATCTTAGTAAATGACTCTACAAGCACTTCAGCTCCCATTCAAAGACCTTGGATTACCTTTGGGTCCTCTGTCTTACTCAGCAGCCCATCCTACACCAACTCCTATAAATGCATCTCTCTCTGCCTCTCCACCCACACACACACACACACACACACACACACACACACCGCACACACTTATTTACAATTATTTTTAAAAATCTCTCTTCTGAGGTTCCAGCTTTTAAATTTTTCTTTTCTTTTCCCTCCCTCCCTTCCTCTTTTGTTTCCAGCTTTCTTCTTTCATTTTCTCTTTCTCTCCTTCCCTTCCCTCCCTCCCTCCCTCCCTTCCTTCCTTCACTTTCTTCCTTCCTTTCTCCCACCCTCCCTCTCTCTCTCTTTCTCTCTTTTTTAATTTCTTTTTCTTTCTTTCTCAGAGTCTCTGTTTGTCACCCCAGGCTGGAGTACAGCGGCGGGATCTTGGCTAACGTCAATCTCTGTCTCCTGGTTTCAAGTGATTCTCCTGCCTCAGCCTCCTGAGAAGCTGGGACTACAGGAATGTGCCACCGCACCCAGTTAATTTTTTTTTTTTTTTTTGTATTTTTAGTAGAGACAGAGTTTCACTATGTTGGCCAGGCTGGTCTCAAACTCCCGACCTCAAATAATCTGCCCGTCTTAGCCTCCAAGGTGCTGGGATTACAGGCGTGAGCCACCACCCCTGGCCTCCTCCTCTTCTGCTTTTTTTGAGACAGGGTCTTACTCTGTCACCCAGGCTAGGGTGCAGTGGTGTGATCTTGGCTTACTGCAGCCTTGATCTCCCAGGCTCAGGATGTCCTCCCACCTCAGCCTCCTTGACTGGCTGGGACCACAGGCATGCTCCATCATGCTCAGCTAATTCGTGTATGTTTTTGTAGAGACAGGGTCTTGCTATGTTTGCCCAGGCTGGTCTTGGACTCCTGGGCTCCAGCGATCCTCCCACCTTGGCCTCCCAAAGTGTAGGGATTACAGGGATGAGCCACCACACCGGGTCACAGCTTTCTTTTTAGAGCTCACCACAGTTTGAGTGGTTACTTGGAATTTTTAGGTAGCAAAAATTACAACAATATATTTGTAAATTAGAATTGTGAAATGTATTTGAAATTTTAACTTTAATATTTTATTTTAAATACCCATAGTGAATGAAAAACATCAAAGTAATTACTTCTAAAAAATGGGGCTTCATTTGGGTTAAAACACAAGAACAATGAACATGATCAAAATTCTTCAAAGCGCTTGCTTGGAATGATACAGAGAAGATTAGCGAATAAAAAATATATATATATTTGGGGTAAAGATGGGGTCTCACTATGTTGCCCAGGCTGGTTTCAAATTCCTCAGCTAAATCAATCCTCCTGTCTTGGCCTCCCCAAGTGCTAAGATTACAGGTGTGAGTCACCACCACGCCTGGCCAAGATGCTAATTTTATGAAAAAAAAAAATCTAAATACTAAACTGTGCAAAATGTATTTAATCATTTTAATAGTACAGATGAGTTAACCCACGACGTGTCATCCCAGGTGCTGCAGTGTCACGCTGAATTTCATGTTCTAAAGAAACATCCTTGGCTGGAGAAACGCACTTGCGTATCACGGCAGGACCCAGTGTCTCAGATTTAGTCTGGCAGCTTTGAATTTTGAAATCCTCTTTGGAGCTTCTTCTGACACAGCATCTTTTCTCTCTGGGCAGGTAGGTGACACCTGAAGAACAGAGGCGTGTTGGGGTGTCAGAGATGGAGGTAAGAATTCTTTTTCTCCCGCAATCCCAGGAAACGCCTCTCCTGTTTCTGGTGAGGGTGAGAGCTCTGGCTGAGGACTTCCTCATTCTTCTTTCTCCTCCAAAGAGGATTTTGTGGTCTCTGCAAATGGCTGCTTCACAGCCGGGGTTCATCAAAATGCAAACCACGGCTTGTCATGGCCAGTGGCTGGGGTCTCTCCAGTGCCACTCCATGCAAGAGTTCTTCCGTATCCCGGTCTCATGATGAATTCTGAGCGCCATGCTTCTCGTTTGCAGGGTTCACAAATATTCCGTAAATATGTCAGTGTTCCCATAACTGGATGACCCAGGACAAACTGACCATCTCCAGGGTAGTCCTTGGACTTCACATCATTTTCAGAACCTAAGGATTTGGGTTTTGAATGAGGTTTTTGCACAATCCAGGGTTTTCTCTTTAATTCAGATTTGTTTTGAACATGTCCTCTTACCTCAACAAGATCTCCAGCCCCACTGTTCCATCCCTGCAGATCTGCTGTGAATGCAACTTTAGATTTAGTTTCTCCTGGTTTTTGTAAAGTCATCTAGTGCTTTCCTCACGCACTCCTTCCTATGCTCCGCTAGCCCTGCTGCTTGCTTTGCAGAGCACTGAACAAAACCAGTTGTCCCCGAGGAGAACAGTGATTTTGTTGGTATCCATAAGCCTTCCTGGTATGAAGGCAAGAGGCCCAATTGGCACCATGACCTTGTAAGACAGTCTATTGGGGAAGGTTCGGAGTCGCTCTTGGAGGGTGTTATAGTTTCCCCTACCTTTTGCCAGTGTGTGATTTCATCTTGGCACCTAGAGATTATCCTTTCCTGTTCCCCCTGGAGCCTCACAATCTGCTGGGGGTACAGCTGCTTGGAGGCAGCCAAGGAGGCTGCCTGGTTGGGCACACAATGGGGCTCCATGGCTCCTGGTTTTGCATGTGTGCTGCGGTCATCACTGCTCAGGCTGCTGTGCCCCCAGGCATGCCTCGCACAACTTCCTCCAGCTGGGTCCTCATAAGATTCCTTCTCCAACCAGTGCTTCCAGCTCCTCATTCCCATCAAAAGATAAATCATTCTGGAGATAGATGGGGGTGATATAGCATGACAATGTGGCTATATTCAGTGCCGCAGAACTGCATACCAAAAATTGGTTTAAATGCTAAATTTTAGGTTATGTTTATTTTACCACATTAAAAAAAATTAGCTGGGCATAGTGGCTCACACCTGTAGTCCCAGCACTTTGGGAGGCTGAGCCAGTAGGATAGCTTTTAGCTCAGGCATTTGAGACCAGCCTGGGCAACACGGTGAGACCCTATCTCTACCAAAAAACTCCATAAAATTAGCTGGCCTGTAATCCCAGCATCTCTGGAGGTGGAGGTGAAGATTGCTTGAGCCCAGGAGTTCAAGGCCTCAGGGTACTGTGATCACACAACTGCACTCCAGCCTGGGCGACAGAGCAAGATACAGTCTCCAAAATAGTAATAGTGAGAACAAATAATAATTAATCAGTTCCAGTTGGGATAATTATCACAAGAACTTTGCTGTTATGGCTGTGATTTTTTTGGAGCAACTTCTCATGGAGCAACTAAACCCAAATCAAAAGCAAAATTCATTTGAACATCCATGCTCACATTAGCATTATTCACAAAAACCAAAAGGTAGAAGCAATCCAAACGTCCACTGACAGATGAATGGATCAACAAAATGTGTCTCTCCACGCAATTCGGCCTTAGAAAGGAAATTCCAACACATGCTACAACATGGAGGAACCTTGAAGACTTTATATATACCAAGGGTACCCACCCCCCACCTCACTGTATTCCTATGTTGAAATCCCAACCCCCAAGATGTTTGTATTAGGATATGAAATTATTAGATTCAAAGTTTGAATTCCTAACCTCAGGTGATCCACCTGCCTTGGCCTCCCAAAGTGCTGAGATTGCAGGCGTGAACCACCGTGCCTGACCCGTACTGTATTCTTATAATAAAGTAAGCGCAGAAAAGAAAATGTTATTAACCATAATCATAAGGAAGATAAAATCTATTCAGTATTCTTTAGGTAGAAATGGATTACCCTAAGGAAGGTGGAGGAAGAGGAGAGGGTTGATCTCACAGTCTCAGGGGTGTAAGAGGCAGAAGAAAATCTCTGTATAAAGTGGACCCATGAAGTTCAAATTTCTGTTGTTCAGGGTTAGCAGTACACAAAGGACACCTGATTAGCTAAAGGTTGGCTGGATACGGTGGCTGACACCTATAATCCCAGCACTATGGGAGGCTGAGGCAGGCGGATCACTTGAGACCAGGAGTTCGAAACCAGCCTGGGAAACATGGTGAAACCCCGTCTCTACTAAAAATACAAAATTAGCTAGGCATGGTGGCATGTGCCTGTAATCCCAGCTACTCAGGAGGCTGAGGCACAAATGACTTGCACCTGGAAGATGGAGGTTGCAGTGAGCCGAAATGGTGCTACTTTACTCCACCTTGGGTGACAGAGTGAGACTGTCTCAAACAAGCAAGCAACAAACAAAACCAGATTAGCTAAAGGTTGACCTTTCAGTGACAAACTAAACAGAAACAGTCTCGGAGACTGTGGACAGGAGAAGCCGCAGGCACAGATGCAGTTAAAACCCTTGATAAATGCCCTGGCAAAAACAAGTGTTAGGCTGAGCGTGATGGCTTCTGTCTGTAATCCTAACACTTTCGGAGGCCGAGGCAGGAGGATTGCTTGAGGCCAGGGGGTTCAAGGCTGCAGTGAGCTATGATCAAAGCACTGCACTCCTGCCTGGGTGACAGAAACTCTGCCTCTTAAAACAAAACAAGCGCCGGGCGCGGTGGCTCACGCCTGTAATCCCAGCACTTTGGGAGGCTGAGGCGGGCGGATCACGAGGTCAAGAGATGGAGACCATCCTTGCCATGATGAAACCCCGTCTCTACTAAAAATACAAAAATTAGCCGGGTGTGGTGGCACACGCCTGTAGTCCCAGCTACTGGGGAGGCTGAGGTGGAAGAATTGCTTGAACCCAGGAGGCAGAGGTTGCAGTGAGCTGAGATTGTGCCACTGCACTCCAGCCTGGTGATAGAGCAAGACTTCGTCTCAAAAAAAAAAAAAAAAAAAAAAAAAAAAAAACAACTCAAACCCAAACCAAAACCCAGCATAGTTCATGAGAGAGGAGGAACAAGGCAGGCCTACTCACCTGGGGCAGTCGGGGCAGGATGCCCAGGAAGGGTCTCTGAAGTGAGCACCTGGAGGAAGGGGGTTAGTTCTGAGGGACTGGGATTCATCTGGGCTTTGGGATCATGGGCAAAGGTCCTGTGGTGACAAGGAGCCTGGTGGCAGCCTGGCTTAGCACCATGTGAGAGCAGAGGGGAGGAAAGGCACTAGGTAAGCATGCCTTCAGATGAGAAATGAGGGAGACAGGGACTGGGGGATCCTGACATGAGAGGAAACAAAAGGAGATGGAGAGGATGGGTCACCAGAGGGACCACTGGACCACCGAGGGTGGGGACTTGCATCGAGGGTGCAGGAGAATGAGGTGCAACCTTGAACAGACCTTCCAGCGCAGCTGGTCCAGCCATCAGTGACCACAACCACACGCATGATTACAAGTGGAACTGGAACCACCCAGGCAACCCGCAGACCTGGGGAACTAATCAAGTCTTGCTTTAAACGACTGCATTACGGGTGGCTTGTCCTGTAGCAGGGTCACTGAAACAGAGTCTCAAATATCTATCAGGTCAAGTGTGTGGTGAGTGGCTCACACCTGTAATCCCAGCATTTTAGGAAGCTGAGACAGGAGGAGCCCTTGAACACAGGAATTTGAGACCAGCCTGGGCAACATGGCAAGACCCTGTCTCTACAAAAACTAAAAAAAGTTAGCTGGGCGTGGTGGCATGTGCATGTATTCCCAGCTACTTGGGAGGCTGGGACAGGAGAGTTGTTTGAGCCCAGGAGTTTGAGGCTGCAATGAGCTGTGATTGCTCATGAAACCTTGCCTCTAAAAAATATCTACAAACCAGGCAGGAGTACTGAGTGGCTCCTATCTTCCCCAAGACCCTTGCAGACTTTGAGGTCTGTCACAGAGCTCACCAATCTTCTCTTGGTCTAGAATTATCTAAAAAGAGTTGAGTGCAGCCAGAGAGGATGGAATACACAGTATTATTCAACCCCATCAAACTGCTGTGCCCTACAGATGATCCTTGGGTCCAGGTGTGGGTGGGCTGAGGAGCTGCCCAGGGCTAGGAGAAGGCAGAGTTCAGAATGCATGACCTTCATCTAACTCCAGATGCTCCAGGGGTCTGAGACCATCTCCATCAGGGTCTGGAAGGCCCTTCCCCAGAACACATAGTCAACCCTGGAGACGACCTTTCCCTGTGAGTGGTGCAAGGGTCCTGGGGCAGTGAAGGCTGTGAAACAAAGTTCGGACCGGAGTGTCTCTATGGTTGATGGGTGGGTCTGGGCTTATTTGTTCTCTCAGTGTGACTGTGTGCACTTACCTGTAAGTGCAACTAGAAACACCTATCCTCTGAGCTTGAAAGGATCAGAAAGCTCTGACAGAGTCAGTGGTAGGGCTGGTTCAGGGGCTGAGGTAGTGCTGGTGCGCACAGGTGGGACCTTCTCCTGCCCTAATTCCCAAAGACTGGTGCTCTGGGAAGGGTCTGGGAGGCATATTTCTCTTTCACAAATACATGCACGACACATGAATGAGCTACTGGATGAGGGAAGAAATGAATGAATGAGTGAACAAAGCTTCCTTTCTCCTCTCCAGGAATTAGCACTCACTGATTAGTTCCCCACTGCCCACCAGCCTGTGCAGAGAAGGGAGGAACAACAAGTCACAGCTGTTGCATCTGTGACTAGACAGTGGTCAAGATGCCCTGTGTCTGCAAAGGCCCTCCCCAGCCCTCACCTGGACAGTGGACCTGTTGGCCAGAGGGGCAGCGGGAAGAAGGGTGGGGCTCCCGGAGTCACCCAGCTGGCTGAAACAGGTGCGTTCTGCACCTTGCCAGGTAGCGAATGGATGTGGGCAGCTCGACACTGAGCAGGGGGCTCATCTGAGTTTGCTCTATCAAGTGTTTGTGAGTAATCGGTCCCAGTGCACACCCAGCTGCTCAGTGCCACCTTGCTCGCCCAGGGCCACTTCAGCCCCGGTCACAGGCCTGCACAGGTTCCAGGGAGGAGACAACTTCAGTTTTTGGTGAGAGTGAACATGTGGGATGAGAGACTTTAAGTCCAAATGTCCCCTTCGATTTTTAAAAACTATTTCAGGCAGTATGTAAACACATATTTAGTGAATTTGTTATTTTTATTCTTGCTTATTGTTTGAGGCAGGTCTCCCTCTGTTGGACAGGCTGGAGGGCAGCAGTGAGATCTTGGCTTGGTGCCGCCTCAACTTCCCAGGCTCACGTGATCCTCCCACCTTAGCCCCCACCAAGTAGTTGGGACTGACTGTGGGTGCCTGGCCACCATGCCCAGCTAATTTTTAAATATTTTTTTGTAGAGATGGGTTTTTGCCATGTTTCTCAGGCTGGACTCAAACTTCTGAGCTCAAGTAATCCCCCCACCTTGGCCACCCAAAGTGCTGGGATTACAGGTGTGAGACACTGCATCTGGCCTCCAGATTTCTCTTTTGTAAGGACACCAGTTGTACTGACCAGGCCCCACCTCTATGGCCTCATTTAACCTTCATTAGTTCCTTAAAGGTCCCATCTCCAAACATAGGCACATAGGGGGTTAGGGCTCCAACCTATGGATTTGGGGGATGCAATTCAGTCCATCACAGCACCAAAGTGTGAGCCAGAAGCGGGTGGGGAAGGCGCCAGGGCCCTGGGACTTCTTTCCCAAACGTGAGTCACTCTGCTTGGTTCTAGGAGGGAGAGGAGCATGGGCTCAAAGCAGTGCTGGAGCATGGAAGGGGCAGAGAGTCCCAGCCCGCTCTGGGCCCTCAGTGTCTTCTGCTGTACAAAGCAGGTGTTTTTACCCGCTAAGGATGTGTCTTCCCTTCCTGGCTTACCAAGCGTTTAAGCATGGACAGAAAATTAATTTTTCTGGGGCTCAGCTTCCTCAGGAGAAAGCTG